GGGGGGGGGGGGGGGGGTTACAGGATGAGGAAAGCTTTGAACAGAATACCGGCTGTTGGCTATTGTTGGCTCTAACTTTCAAAGTCACGCAGCAGGAAGACTGTTGGATGGTCGATTACATTAGTCTGTATTTTTGTAACGACTGTCCCAGACAACTCTTCCTCTGTTTATTTGTCTCACTCATGTATCAAGCCTTTCAACCTTTGACCCTGGAGTGCACTGCCTCCGCTGATACAGACGGGGATCGGGGGCTTGGGGGGGGCGGGGAGGTTACAGGCCTGGAAGTGCAGGAGGAGTGTGATATGACATCCCCATGCTAAAACTAGCAGTGGAAGTACAAGGCGCTGGGGACGGCTGTCTGCGCGGAGGCTATAGAGCTGAGTTTAGGTCAGAGGTTGGAGTTAGGGGTCAGGTACAGCAACAGACGACTCTTTGTTTGGTCCGTTTAAGTTCGCTGTGAATTCAGTTTGGGAAAAGTTGCAGAAAATGTGTGTTTTGTAACTTGTTTCTGTGACTTTTGTTAGAGTTTCAGTAGCTTTTTCCATTTATAGTGCATTTAAAAAGCACCTGTAAACTACCTGCATATCTGGTTGGCTACTATATATTTAACATTGACATCATGAAGGCCTATCTGGATAACTTTTGTACTAGCAGTCCAACAAAGCTTACATTGCCTGCCATTTCTTTACAGCGTCCAATTAAACAGTAAATTTACCACTTGCGTCACTCTCGCACACTTGAAATCTTACCCTTATTTTTATTTTATTTTTTTTCCCTCATCAATTCTTTCGCAGCTCCTTAACCTGTCCTTTTTTCTTCTGCTTTGCAGGAAGTCGAAGACGAAGCCAAATGGAAAGAAGCCTCCGACAGAGGAGAAGAAGCAGTACTTGGAGCTAGAGTACACAAAAATCCGCGTGGTGGACTTTGACCTCAAGGAGCTGGTGGTGCTTCCCAGAGAGATAGACCTCAACGAATGGCTAGCCAGCAACAGTGAGTGACTATAGTGGTAGAATCTATGTATGAATGCATAGATAGAAAAGCAAGCCCGTAAAAGCAACTTAACATGGTCATTGTTAAAATGTGAAAGGGGGGCGATTATCTTATTTATGACGTGAAAATTCTTTAGCCGAGCTCTGTGTTCGCTCCGACTCATTTAAAAATGTTTCTCAGGGGTTTGGAATTGTTTTTCCAAGTCAGTATGTATTTGTCATCTGGAAACGACAAGATGTTCCAGTGGTGCTGGAGATGCAGCTCTGACAAAGCCAAGCCCTGAACATGATCCAGGCCTGGCACAGCAATGAGCCTGTTCCCAATAACAACACACACACCATCGTTTACTGCCAGCGTCAGTGCAGTGTTTTAACTCTTACTGGAATTTATAGTTGTGATTATGAGAATCATTTCTGGATTTTTGTAAACTCACTGCGGCCCGGCTGCCTGATCGATTTCATGAGACTCTTTATTTTGTCTGTCTCTCTGACTTTGCTTTGGTTACGAATCCAAACCAGCCAGGTGCTCGCGAAGGAAAAGGAAAAGAACAAACTTTCTTTTTTTATTTTCGACTGATAAAACTCTGTTATATGGAACAGATGGGACATGTTTGCACATGTTAATGTGTTGAAATTGGAAATTGTATAAGCTGGCTTGTATCATCTTGTATCCACCACTAATTGGGCTTTTGCTTGAACAGAAACAACAGGGCTGAGTGATATTTTGATTAAGTAGTTTGTTTAACCAAATCAATAATGATTGTAGCCATTTAATTCTGCCCACATGTGTAAACCAACACAATGTTTTCCCACTTGGTGGCTACTTTGTTGAGCCGGAAAAGACGGGATGGGTTCTGTAAGGCAATGAAAGCCTTTTCAGCATGATATATGATGAATTACTCAACACGACATAAAATCATAGACTTGTTCTCAGAGATTGGAGCCAGATCAGTACTGCTCAGAGAGTTTCAGTGCCGGAGCCTAAACACTTACATAAAACATTTGAATGGGTTTACTATGGTGTTCAGACCTCCCAACGTTCTTAAGGTAGAAACTGTGCAGCAGCTACTCAATATGAGGACTCTGAGATAAAATAAGCAACAGCAAAAGTCACTGGAGCAGAAAATGATAACTTCTACTACACTTTATAGTGGATTCTTCCACCTTCTTTATAAATATATGACTATTTTGGTCATGGGTTTCATACACGTTGATACACTTCTCCTTGTAATAAAATATATATAAGTAAAACTCAGATTGAGAACCCTAAAACAAAAAGGGGTCTGTGGTCTGATTTGTCAGTTTAAGAGTCCTTGAAATTAATAAAATTTGAAAACCACTCTTTTATTCTATAGTTTATTTGTTAATTCAATTATTTTAGGTAGTAATGGATAATTACATTGACATCACTCAGCCCCAACAAAAAAAACCTCATCAACACTGAATGAGAAAGCTTTTCTGACAGTTGTTATATACGTTGTTGCAGGATTTCAGTAAATAATTAGTGTTTTGAGTTTAAGGAATGTCACCATACCAGAAGTTTGAATACATCTAGTGTACAGAACAAATATTTTTGACTTTGACTGATTTCTTCACCCCTCATTTGCCTAATACCCTGTTTAACAGCATAGCAGGTTGTGAAGGAGTTTCCCGTGTGGTAGAAATACCTGTTTACATGAATTGAGCAACAACTTGAATGCTTTGCGAAGCTGCTGCCTCCTCCCATTTTTCCATGTATTTTTTTCTGAGGCTTACACACTTGAGCTGAGATGAAGGATGTGGTAACCTGATGGATTAGTATTGTGCATGTGACTGTGACTGTCCCACTGATCGATGTGACAGATACACTGCAGTATAAAGCGCTGTAGGTGTGTTCTCATCCATTGGAGAACGTGACATGACACAAATAATCCACTTTTATGTTCTGGTGCAAAAGTGTTTGAAGTATCCTCTCAATGGTTTATGTAACTGAAGACACACACTGAATAACTCTCTTTCTTGTCTTTGCCACAGCAACAACATTCTTCAATCTTATCAACCTGCAGTACAGCACCATCTCAGAGTTCTGCACTGGGGACACCTGTCAAGCCATGACGGCCTGCAACACGTAAGTTATCTCCGCCGCTTTTGGTTTATTCATCGCTCACCTTCCCCGGGCCCATTGGTTTATTTATCAGAAATCTAGTGTCCCATTGGTTAATTCATCAAGGCATGCTTCCCCCTGTCAGTGAGGGAAGACTTCGGCCTTTGCTCCTACCCACCCTGTCGATCTTGGAATGTACAGCATGCAGCTTTAATGTATTGCAGTGAGCTGTATATTTACCTAAAAGCCCTGGTACATCGACCATGGCACCCTTTTGCATCTCCATACCTGCCACGTGCTGTGCTGCAGCAGCGTATTTAAAGGACATTTCTGTCAGGTCTGTCCTAAAACTGTGATCTACTATGAGGCATCAGCAGTCTGAGTTAGACAAATCAAGTAGTTTATTGTCTCTTTTCAGTCCCTGTTTTTCCCAACGTGCCTAGCTACACACACAGATGTGAGACAAATAAAGTCAAGACAACAACTATTTACCCCCTCTCCACCTCCGCTTTATTATTTGCTGCTGTTTTTGCCTTAAACCGCCAGGAAAAGATATCTGTTCCTACCCTGTGATAATGAAGTTTTGATAGGATAAGATGCACACATTTTGAGTCAGGAAAGTGGCAGCACTCCAGATGTCAAAAACAGCACAATCTTTTAGGTGAATTTCATTCAGCTGACAAATTTGAGCTCTTGGGCTATTTCTTACCTCTTTTTTTTCCAGACTCGGACAAAAACAGGAAACACAGGCACTGTATAGATTATTGTGATCGTGTAGTCTTCTTCTGAGTTGTGGATGAAGTTCATAAAAGTATGCATATGTCTGAGTATGATAAAAGGTCTGAATGGTATGAATATGAAGTCTGGCAAAAGTAGAACCACTCAAGATCCATCCATACCACATTCAGGGTAACTGCTGCATTAGACCTAGAGTGTATCAAATCTGACCAATGAGCAAAACAGTGAGGGACTGAAGGCATATTAGTGATCGACCTGGTGTAGCTTCACCTTTAATCCCCTGTGGTCCAGCCTGTGAAACTCTGCTCATGTCATTATATTCACATCACACACAAGAAATGATCACTTCTTTACCAAAGGAGTTCGCCTTTAAACACAGATTCTTAAAAAGAATTATTTTTTTAGAGGAGTGATTAGGGCATTAGTTGCTACAGTGTACAGTAAAGCACATCGTACCTCTGTAGTAGTTTAAGGATTATCACAACAGGTTAACAGAGGGGGAGGTGACTAACTGTAAGTATTTATCTAACTAGTTTGCCCTGTCAGGGTGGGGTGCCATCTTTGTGTGAGCCGTTGTCTTTGGAGAGGCCTTCATTTCCCCTGTGTTGACTGAAGGCTGGAAAAACCTGATTACCCACACTTTGAAAAACCAAAGCACTCACTTCACGCAACTCTCTTAACACATTATAACATGGAATCTAGTGCACCCACACGCTCACCCTTGTCAAAAATACGACAATGGCAAACAACGCAACCATTGAGAAGTGACAAATGTATGGCAGATTTACTGTGAGAGATTGTCACGAGTTAACCTCTCAGTCAACAGTGGATTTTTCCACTGCTGTAACATTAAGTTGCTGCTACCACCCCACACCCTGAGGAAATGAAGAAGCAAATGTGCTTCGCCTGTGGCATGTGAAGAGTTTAGAGATTAGTGCAGAAGAACATGTTTTTGTTTGCATTGTCTATTGACATGTGGTAAACAGAGGAAACGTCTTAATCAAGTGGAAAAACACAGGATTGAACTCTTTAGTCTGTCTCTCTCTGGATTCAGCTAAAAGGTTTTAAGGCATTTTTTTTGTTTTAAATAAAACTCTCGCTGTGAAAACTGCTTCTAAGACGAGGCCCACCATTTACGATTGTAAATTGACTTCCCCGCTGCCCGGCACCCCACCCTTTCCTGCCCTTGCAGGACCTGGCACCCGCCCCCCCACCCCACTCCCATCTGTGGTGAAAACTGACTGAGCCACAGTCACAGCAGCGTCAGTGCCCCTGCCCGAAGGCAGAGCTCAGCACTATTTTTGGAAGAAAATGTTTCCATGAGCTATGAGGGAACGGAACCATTTGGTTGCTATTTAGACCCATTTTGTATGGGTGGGTGGATAGATGGGTGTGTGTGTGGGAGAAAGGGAGATGTGTGGTAATGTGCTCGCACTGTTCATCAGTGTTGGGTTCTTATAACGGGTTCCATTTTGGATTTAGTCAATAAAATACACGGATTCATTCAATCACTGATCACTGGTGTCAGTCAGTTTTGTAACTCAGTGCAGAACCCTTTTACCTCTTTTCAGTAAATTGTCATTTTCAGCTTTGTGACATTTGATTGTTTGATATTAATATCTACAGACAAATGTCAAAAGCTGTAAATTAAGACAGAAAACAGTCAGAAAAATCTATAGTCATTTTAACATGGACCCAAGTCGGATCAATGTAAAATCATTGTGGAGAGCATCAAAACTAACTAAATGACTTTTCCCAGAGCTGATAGTTGTAGTTCTTCGATAATCTTCTTTAGCTTTTCCAACTTTTTTTTATGCAGATATGGCAATAATAAAGGTCCATAAAAATCACCCACCACCACATTTGTGTGCCTAAGTCTTCCACAAACCTAGGAGAATTGCTGATATTTTAAGCCTGTGTGAATACAGGCCGGCGTGGCATGTGCACAGAACCGCACCGCTGCTAAAATCCTAGGAGAAACCCCGTTCATCCCACTGCAAAAATAGTGACAAAAACTAAAAATACAACTTTTTTTCAGTATTAAGGAAAAACTTCCCAGCATAGTAAACCATCCTCTGTAGCAGCATTTTGTACTGTATTTGGCAATAGTTTTATCATGTGTACACCTCTGGGTGGGTTTGTAGTTTAGTCAGTGTCTCTCCCACACAAACATACTGTCTAATCCTCTATGAGTAAGTGTATTGTAAGAGTCTGGTCCCGGTGCTGTGGTCAGTAGGTCCGTTCCTGCCGGGTCAGTTATGTGGACGCTTTACATTCCTCAGGATTTGTAATGTCTGCCCCACTGCCTCCCGCGCTGCTAACAGTTACACCTGCACGCACATTTCTTTCCACCGCTTTATCTGCGTATTAATCGACCTTTCCAGCTCACTGACCAGTCAGCTCCCCTTGTGTCTCTTACGAGTCCCGCTCCACCGTCTCCGCCCTCGTTAGCCGCCTGCTGCTCATTCATCTGTCTCTAAAGGTGTCTGCTGACCTGCTGTTTGACATTCGTTAACTATTGTTAACTCCAACCCACCTGCCTACAGTTCGGCTATCTGGGTCACACACACACACACACACACACACACACACACCCCCCCCCCCCC